CTCACTTGGAAACCTCTCCCCCTCCCACTTGTCTCATCTCTCTGTGTCTGTCCTTTTGGGGGACCTGTATAGTTCCTGGCATTCCCTTTGGGGCTCTCGGGGGCTGGTGGCCTAGGTGCCCCCCTTCCTGCTGGTCAAGGATGAAAGGTTGGGAGAATAGCTATGTCTGGCAGGCGATGAGTGGCTGGGGGCACAGACCTAGGGAGTGGGCATGGAGGGGTGTGGCACCAGTTGAAGGAAGTTGGGTGCAGGTGTGGGACTCCACATAACCCACTGGCCTCAGTTGGGAAGGCAGTGTAGACACCAATGGGGGGGGCTTGGGAGTCTCATGTGGCACCAGTGTGGCTCCCCTCCCTCACCACCTTGAAATGGAGTTGGAATCTGGAGTGTGGTGAGGGCTAAACCCCCATCTCTTCTCACAGACCCTTAAACCTGTTAATGCTTAACCCTCAGCTCTCACCTTAGGCCCTGCCCCAAATGCTGTAACCGCTGCCTGGTAACCCAACAGCCAGTCCTGCCCTGTGCCCTGCCCTGCCCATAACCTCAACAGCCAGCCATGCCCTGCCCTGCCCTGCCTGCCCTCTGCTTGTCCCCCTAAAAGCCAACCCTGCCCTGCCTGTAACCTCTCAGCCAGCCATGTCCATACCCCCAACAGTCAACCCTGCCCTGCCTGTAACCCCAACAGCCCACCCTGCCCTGTCCCCTGCCCTGCCTGTAACCTCTCAAGAAGCCCTGCCCTGTGCCTTCCCATACTCCCAATAGCCAGCTGTGTCCTGCCCCCTGCCTGTACCCCAACAGCCAACCCTGCCCTACCCCCTGCCTGCCCCACCCATAACCCCAACAGTCAGCTCTGCCCTATGCCCTGCCCATACCCCAACAGCTAGTCCTGCCCTGTGCTCTGCTCCCTGCACTTACCCCAACAGCCAACCCTGCCCGCTCCTCCTGTAACCCCAACAGCCAACCCTGTTTGCTCTGCCTGTAACCCCAACAGCCAGTTCTGCCTTGTGCCCTGCTCTGTGCCAAGCCAAGCCCTGCCCTTCCCCCTGCCTGTAATCCAACAGCCAGCCCGGGCCTGCAGTGCCACTATCTGTCTTTGGGCTCTGGGCCTCCCATGAAATCTGGGATTGATGCAACAGAAGAACTCATCTTCCCCCACCCCAAGGAGATGCTGGCTTCCAAATTATCCCCCCAACACCCATATTGAGTTAGCACCTCCCTTAGGTGCAGCCAAAGGGCCTCTTGGGACATAGAGTAAGGAGCTGAGATTCTTTGCCCAGCTCTGGCCCAGCTCTGGGGATTGGCTAGTTACAGCAGCAGGGGTTGGGAGCCAGGATGCTGGGGTTCTCTCCCTGGCTCTCGGAGGGGAATGGGAGCTAATGGCTGGGGGGCAGGGGTGGGGTGTTAGAACTGATCATTATTATTCTGTTGCATTTTTACTCCATCCCCCAAAAGAGATGTTACTTTATTTTAAAGAATCACAGAAACTTTATTAAACTGAACAAATAAACAAACTACAGCAGGCGACACAAAGAGATGAAGAGATTATTTTAAAGAAATGTTTAAAAAATTTTAAAATTAAAATTAAAGCAACCCGGAGTTTACAATTTGTTTCTGTACAGCTATTTATTGAAACCTTCCCTCATGACAGACTCCCACCTTCCCAGCCCCACAGTGCCCCCTAGCACCGCTCTGGGACCGGACCAGCCCTGCCTGCCAGGGGAGAGCGCCCCCTGCTGAGCTGCTGCCCTCCTCCCTGCCCCACAGTGCCACCCTGGGACCAGCCCTGCCTGCTAAGCGGAAACACCCCCCTGCTATCTTGTCCATGCCTTGTAAGTGGGGTGATGGTATCTCCCTGCAGTACTCTGAGGGTGACAAATGACATGGCTTAGGTAACTCCCCAGTGCCATGACCCCACTGTGGGGCCTGGCCAGGAATCAGTCACTTATTAATAATGTTTTGTACCTTGCTGGAAGTGACCACCCTCTGCGATGGGGGTGGAGGAGCACCTCGACAGTGAAGCGCGCATTGGGCCACACAGCTAGATGGGGTGGGCAGGGCGTCAGAGGGTAGATAACACACAGGACACTCGCTTCTTCTGACAGGACAGAAAGGCACTTGAACTGAAACAGAAAATAGAAGGTTGCTGGTTCCGAACCAGCGCAGGACGGAGAGTGACTGGCTCGGAGAGGGGACAGGGAATAGGAGGGGGACAGAACTGAGTACTGAGTGCCCCCAGCTCTGCTCCCTGCCCCACAGTACTCCTTCATGTTGCCCTGAGTACCCCCATTGAGGCCTTGCCCCGCTCCCTGCCCCACAGCGCCCCCTAGTGCCACCCTGGGGCCAGCCCTGCCTGCCAGGGGAGAGCGCCCCCTGCTGAGCCCTCGCTCCTTCCCCACAGCACAGCGCCCCATCTCACTCAGGCTCTGACTGGCTGTGACCCTGCTGAGCCCAGTCAGCAGCGCTAAGGCAGGGCAGTGAGGGTGTTCCCAAGGCCCTGACTCACTTCCCATTTTCCCCTTGGAACGCTGAGCCAAGCCTGACACTGGTTTCACCAGAAAGGGGAACCTCGTCCAGCTGCATCCGTTCTGAGAGCCAGCAGCATGGCTTCCGTGGGAGGAGAAATTCCGGTGAGCAGCAGAGGGAAAAATCGCCTGTATTTTGTGGGTGCACCGTAGCTGGTAGGTTTGCTCCAGCGATGTGCCTGCCCCAGATCCCGGCCACCAGTTGCTGGAGCCTAAGGGAGGCAACTCCATTGACTGGGGAAAGAGCAACAGTAACATCGAGCCTCAGCTCAGAACCACGGGGCCATCTAGCCCGGCATCCCACCTGCTCCCTGGGATCAATCTGGGAGGGGTGTGGGGGCTGGTGGGTCAGAGCAGTGGGGCTGGGAGCCAGGATGCCTGGGTTCTTGCCTCAGCTCTTTGATCCATCAGAGGTCACCCTGGGCCTGTTTTGTCCCAATTCAATACAGGAGGAATATTTACAGATCAAAGTGCTGCTGAAGGGGCCGAGGGAGCCAGTCTCCAGCGGGGTAGAGGCCTCCTGTGCTGTGGACTAAGCAGAAAAGAGACCACAACAGGTAAAGAGGTAAAGAGCCCCAGAGTGAAGGAACGGGGCAATGGAGGTACAGCAATCCCGCACCGTGACGGGAGAGTGAGGGAACGGGCATGGGGGTCTGGAGCCCCCTAGTGTTCTGCAAGGAGGGAAAAGGGAAATGAGCCCCTGGGGCTGGGAAACTGCGAGGGAATGGAGGCGCAGAATGGGGGAACGAGGAGACAGAAGAGCAAGGTGTGGAATGAGGGAACAGAGCGGGAGGAGCTGAGGGATGGAATGGGGGATGGAAGACGTAAGGTGTGGAACAAGGGAACAGGGAGACAGAGGTGTGGGACGAGAGAACGGGATGGAGGAGTGGAGGTGTCGAACAAGGGAACTGGGAGGGGGAGGAGCAGAGGTGTGGAACGTGGGAACAGAGGGAATGAGAGAATGGAGGAGCAGAGATCTGGAACAGGGAATGCAGTAGAGGTGCGGAATGAGGGAGCAGAGAGAGAGGAGTAGAGGTTTGGAAACAACAGAACGACAAAATAGGGATGGAGGAACGAGGGAATGGGGGATAGAAGAGCAGAGGTGTGGAACGAGGGATCAGGAGGATGCATGCTTCATCTGTGGAACAAGGGAATGGGGAATGCAGAAGTGGAGGTGTTCAAAGAAGGAGCAGGGAATGGAGGAGGAGAGCTGTGGAACAAGGGAACGGGGGAGGGAGAAGTAGAGGTGGAGAACAAGAGAACGGGGGGATGGAGGGAGGAGTGGAGGGAGGGAACAAGGGAATGGGGCGACGGAGGAGTGGAGGTGTTGAACAAGGGACAGGACAGGCGGAGGAGTAGAGCTGTGGGAATGGGGGAACGGGGAAATCAATGAGTAGAGGTGAAGTACTTATGAGCTAGGCTGGGCAGGGATGGTGTCCCAGCCTCTGTTTGTCAGGGGCTGAAAATGGGTGACAGGAGAGGGATCACTTGATGATTCCCTGTTCTTTCACTCCCTCTGAGGCATCTGGCATTGGTCACCATCAGAAGACAGGACACTGAGCTAGCTGGACCTTTGCTTTTACCCAGTGTGGCCATCCTTATGGCGTGTGGAACGAGGGAGGTGTACAGGTGTGAAATGAGAGGAGGAGGATAGAGGTGTGCAATGAGTTCAGAGGGAGAGGGAAGAGTGGAGGTGTGGAAGGAGGGAATGGGGGATTGGAATAAAGGTGTGTAACAAGGGAATGAGAGGATGCACAAACACAAGTGTGGAACGAGAGGATGCAGGAGTAGAGGTGTGGAACGAGGGACTGGGGGATAGAGGCATAGATGTGTGGAACAAGGGAATGGGAAGCTAGAGGAGTGTAAGTTTGGAATGAGGGAGTGGGGTGATGGAGGAGTAAAGGTGTGGAGCGAGGGAACAGGGTGACAGAGGCATAAAGGTGTGGAGTGAGGGAGTGGGGTGACGGAGGTGTGGAGCGAGGGAGCGGGGTGACAGGAGTAAAGGTGTGGAGCGAGGGAACAGGATGACGGAGGCATGAAGGTGTGGAGTGAGGGAACAGGGTGATGGAGTATGCCCCTTTATCCCTACTCCTGCTGCCATGTCCCTACACTGATAAATCCCCTCCCACAGCCCCCCTTCCTGCCCCCTTGCCATGGCCAAGGACTACGAAGATTTCCAGGCTTTGGATGTGGAAGAGGAGAGCGGTGTCCCCCTCAGTAAAGGTATGAGGTGGAGAGACTGCAGAAGGCAGGAGATTGAGGGGTGGGCAGAGCTGGGGTACAGAAGGAGTGTGGGGGAGCAGAGAGGAGCAGGCAGGTCTGGGTGCAATCCTGGCCAAGAGAAAAGGAGGTGAGGTGATGGGGTGACACCCCATAGGTCCTCCAACTGGCATCCTCAGACTCCTGGGTCCCTGCCCATCCCCCACCATACTCCTGGGGCCCAGTTTCTCTAAGTCCTTTGTTCATGTTCCCTCGGACTCCTGAGTCCCTGTCCCATCTTCCTCTGGACTCGTGGGTGCCTGTCTCCCCCCACCCCCAATGGCTGGGTCCCTGGACTCCTGGGGAAAGAGGACTGGAAGGGGGGGTATGCAGGAAGGAGAGGAAGGGGTGGTTGCTGAGCCCTGGTGATGGTTTCTCTCCCACCCACAGTGTTTCTCCCCCAGTTCACGGGCTGGCAGCGTCTTTGTGTCTCCCCCTGGTCTGTCTGTGCCCTGCTTGCTCTGATCCTAGGGCTCATCTTTGGGATCATCGCGCTGGCTGTCAGCAGTGAGTGCAAGGGACGTGTGCAATGGGGGGCTGGGTGTGGAACACAGAGGGATGAGCATGTGAGATAGGCAGGTGGTGAGAAAGCAGGGGTGAGTGTGTAAATATGAAGGGCACAAGCCTGGGGCATAAGATGAAAGGTCAGGGTGGGTGTGCAAGGCTGGGGCTGTATGTGCAAGACTGGGGCATAGGCTGAAATGTCATAATGTAAATGGTGAAGGTGACTGGGCAAGTCCAGGGATGGGCGTGCAAGGTGAGACTCAAGTGTGCAAGCCAGGCAGTGTTAATGGATGTCAGGGATGTGCAAGGCTGGAGGGGTATGTGCAAGACAGGCTAAAGTTCTCCATTTGCACATCACTGTCATGGGCTCTTGTGTATTCACAAGGGTGGAGCGTGTGCAAGCCCCTCCTCTGGTGGGGGATGCAGGGCCGGCTCTAGGCACCAGCAAATCAGGCAGGTGCTTGGGGAGGCACTTTGCCAGGGGCAGCATTTCAGGTAAGCAGCCAGCGCTGCCCCCAGCAACACCTAGCCCCACCCCGCCAATTTTAAAGGGCCACAGGAGACGCCGCGGCTGCGCAACCAGCACTGGTACCATGTGCGCCCGGCCCTGGAGACTGCTGGCTGGCCCTGTCTCCTGAGTCCTGCTCCTCACCAGTGGCCACTACCTCCTCCAAGAGCCTCTCCACTCCAAGCGGAGGCTCCGCTCCGCCAGACCCGCAGCCTGAACCTGGCCATCAACCACCCCTCCGCCTATATCGTGTGGAAATTCCAGATAGGATGCCCCTTTCAATCTGGTCGCCTACCATATTTGCTTTTCTTGCTGCACATCGGGAGGTTTCTTCCTGTGCCTTCAATAAGGCTTCTTTGAAATACTGCCAGCTCTCCTGGACTCCTTTCCCCTTCATGTAAGCATCCCAGGGAATCCTGCCCATCAGTTTTCTGAGGGAGTCTGCTCTTCTGATGTCCAGGGTGTGTATTTTGCTACTCTCCTTTCTTCCTTTGTTCAGAATCCTGAAATCTACCATCTCATGATCACTGCTTCCCAGGTTGTTACCCACCTCTACTTCTTCTACTAATTCCTCCTTCTTTGTGAGCAGCAGGTCAAGCTGCGCATGGCCCCTGGTCGGTTCCTTTAGCACTTCAGGACCTGGTGTTTTAATGTTGTTTTATTTTAATTTTTTTTTTTGGCTTAAGTCTTGGATTTTTTTTTTCTCAACAACTTCGGTCCCCCCCCTTTTTTCCCCTTCAACAGAATTTTTTCCCGGTGGGTTTTTTTGGGGTCGGAGGGGTAGCCAAAATTTTTTTTGCTTGGGGCAGCAAAAAACCTAGAGCCGGCCCTGGGGGGATGCCATAGGAGGCAGGGCAGGCAGAGGGGATGGGGGATACAGAGTGACCTAGGGGGCAAGACTGGGACCATCTCTCCCTCTTCCGCTTCCAGGCTCACAGCAGGGCGCGGAGCAGCGGGATCTGCAGGGGGCGCTGGGCAGCCAGAACAGCAGCCTGAACTCGGAGCTTACGGAGCTTGCCCGGAATGGTGAGTGGGGGAAAGAGGGAGGGGCGGGG